TATATATATATATATTTACTATATTATTAAACATATTAGATATTTCTTGAATTTTAAGAGGTACCAATACAATTACATCATGTACAATCTTCTTAAGCTCATCATCTCAGCTGTGTAACTTATCTGCTATTCACAATAGCTGGAACACGCTTATCGTTTGAAAGCTTTCTCTCTCTCACACACACATTTTCAGAAAACCCTAAATCTTGGATCTCCTCCTAGCATGCATCAACAAACCACCAACACGAAACGATGTTCCCTCCTTTCTTCTTCACCAACATCAAGCCATCACAATTGCACCACCACCTACTCTTCCACTTCGCACCACACTCAGTAACTTATAACTTTTAGAAACCCTAGCCGCCCTCAACGTCTCCACCACCGAACGTGTCCACCACCGTCAAAAGCTTTCACCACCACCCATTTCTTATCTTTTAAAAAACATAGAAGCCCTAGCCACCACGACATTCAAAAGCAACCATCACTGTCAGCAATTCACCACCATCATCGTCTCCTTCTTCTGGTGTTACATACAATTAGGATAAAATCAATAAATAGTTGAGGATATTTGAACCCTTCTGCACAGTAAGATAAAGTAAAAGCATTGTTCTTTTCTTTCTTCGAAGATTGGGAAAAAAATACCTTCATTATAGTTGCCAAAATGTTAAGCACTGTTCTTAAGGTCAAATCAGAGAACAATGGTTCTTACACTGTGCTTGACACATGCGTCTTGCTTCTTTCTAACCCAAAAGATATCAGACGCAACTCCATTTTCCTTCTCTTTCTTGCGATAAATCTCAGTACCTCTCTCTCACTTTAAAATCACCATCTCACTCTCACACTAAAATGTCTTTGTGTAATACTATATCTAAACTTCTCTCGCCATACCCTCACTCCACCAACACCGTGCCTACCTCACTCAAGACTGCAACATGGGAGCATTCACGGAAGGTTGAAGATTAAAAACATTGGTGAATAATATTGGTTTTCCCATGGGAGTAATTAGCCCAAGATGCTTTACCACATACCACCGCACCCCATCTCCATCCAACCGCCATTCCGTGGTACCTCTTCCACTACACCTACAATCATCGCACCAATATCGGACCACAGTCTCTCCACCACCAACCCACACATACGCCACCGCTCTGCCTCTCTGTCTCTATTTGGTTTGCGATCACAGACACAATACTCTAGATTTACGGACAAACGAAGGTACAGACTAATTTTCTCGATAATAATACAGATGGGTTTTCGTGCCTTTTAAATAGGGTTATATGGTTGCTCCATTTTTTTGTACGACTGCTTAAAGATTTAATCATAGACAAATAGGTTGTTGAGGATAAGTATTGGAAAGTATTTTATTCCAATCATATATTCAAGCATCCACTCCCCTTCAATTTCCTTGAAGTTTAGTAGACGTTTATAGCCTGATGTTAGTTGATAATTGGCTATTTTGATTTTTATGGAGTTTGTTAATTATCTTTTGTGAATTCATTGGTTGTTTGTCTTTATTTACTTATGCAATTGGTTGGCTGATGTTCAGGTACATCAATGTGAGAGGAATTTTGAAATTTGAATGGCAGCCAGTGACTTCTGGTGATGGAAAGAGGGCTTCCTTCTGTAAAGTCGTGTCCTTAGGGCTTCATTTTGTTTAGTTATTCAAGTAATTAACTGTCATTTGGAGATAATAATCTTTCTACAAGGCTTCTTCAATTAATGTTGATTAGTTTTAACTTTTAATATGAAGCACAACATAATGCGGTTATTATTTGATTAATATTGCTTTTTATGTATTTATAGGTTAAGGGATGTGGATTGATGGTAAGTAAGGAGAAACCAGACGTATTGAAGTGGGTAATGCTTCATTTAACCATCTCTACATGTATCTTTAACCATCTCTACATGTATCTATATAGTTTAACGGATTTGTGCAATGTGCCACAATATAAATGCAGGATGGATGGAATTGTATGACTTTAGATGTGGGTTAAGTTCAAGATTTAGTAATATACTTTCATTATAGTTTCTTCCACTTCTGCCATTTTAAAGGTTTAAAATCTCTTTATAGCACCCTACATTTATATTTTCTATATCTTATACCAGGAATCTTATATGTGTGTATATACGTATTTTTGGGGGTTCTTTTTGTTGGCTAAACATATAAAAAACTAAGATTACTAAAATTTCTTTAAATATTCGTTTTTGTATTCATACTTAAAGTTTTCTGTTTTACGTCCAGGTTCATATTGGGGAAGGAGTATCGCCTTTAGCTGCCATAGAAGTTTTTAGTGGAATGCCTGTTAACAGACTTTTTGAACCGATGTCTACTTAAATGTCTTCAGTGTAATTCACATGTAAGTTTTTCTTTTATATGTTTTTTTATTCCTTGTGTTTTAGAGTATCCATCTATTTCTCAAAGTTTTGTTAATAACAAATGAAAATGTGCATCTTCAAATAAGAAAACAAAATTTATTTTCAGACAACTTACTTTTTTTTAACTAAAACAACATTATATTTTTGTTTTAAACCCAAACTAATCTACCTAAATGGGTTAGTTTAACTTACAAGTTACCATCTTCCAAATCAAATTAGATTCATTGTTACGAGTTTACCTTTTCATTACCATCGTGTCAAAGTTGGGTACCCAATCATAAATGTCTGGATTAGAAATAATTATCGAATGAAAAAAATTCGCACCCGTCGCTTGGCGCGGGTAAACGGCTAGTGTATATATATATATATATATATATATATATATATATATATATATATTCCTACTAAAATTTTCTTTTTTTAATCTTGATTAAACTATAAGAATCGTTAAATTAAGATATTCACATACTAAAACTAAGATTTAATTTGGTTGATTTCAACCCGAAAATAAGATTACCTTGTCATCAATTTCATCCATCAATGGCACTTGTCTATCAACTTCCTGCACCATTAAAAAATTTATAATTTAAATTATTTTTATCATCTAAAAATATATTTATCTATTTACTAATGATTTATATCACCATACCTCTTGCATGTCCTGAGCCATGTTTTTCAGAGTACCAAGTCCTTCTGCAATCACATCCAACCCTTCGTCCTACATATAATTAAATTCATTAATTATTTGTCAATATTGATGTCTCAAGATATATATTAAAGCATCCTTAATATGAGTTCTTTTAGAATTTAAAAAATAAAAAAGTAAAAATAAAATAAAAGTAAAAATAAAAAACTTTTTATTTTGAAACAATGAAAAAACTTCACATCTATTATGGAAGATTTTAGTTGTTTTCATCCATGATTCAAAACACAATTTTGACAATCATCTTATAATTTTTTTTATTTTTCTAGCTTATTGCTAGTTTATAAAATTCAATTGTTTCAAAACTAACCTTACTGAACATGTTTTATTATTGTGGATGTTGTAATATATTTAGACATGAAAATAGGCAAATAGTCATAAGGGAATAGTCAAATTTAGATCAAATATTTACCTAAATAGTAATTTCATATTGTTATCTTGATAATCGACCCAAATTCAAATTAAGTTCAACATACCTGTTGCAATCTTCGCATTTCATATTCTTGTCTAAATTTATTGGTGTCATCAGTATGTTGGTAGTAGTTGTTATCAAACGTTTCATCTGATATTACCATAAGCCGGTAATCAAAATAAAATATCGATATAAAATTAAAAACTAAGCACAAAACATACGCATCCAATAATCACCTTGCATTGAGTCAAATATGATTTTTCTATTTGAACTTGATGATTCTAAACCAGTTGTCGGTTGAGTTTTGGTTGTTACACCATCAGGAACGACTTCAATTCTCTCTTTAAGTGCTAAGACCAACTCATTTCGTGCCTGAAGTTCATCCTTAGAAAGACCTTTTACCTACATCATGTATATGTTAATCAGTATTGATGTGATGAATTGAATTGTGTAATGGAAATTGACATAAATCAAACAATACTTAATAAGATATTTTTATTGATGGTTAGTCTCATGATTTCTGTGAATGAGAACGTACATAGGAAGTATCGTATATAAAAATTAGAAAAGTATAAATGTAATTTATAATCACAACTTAGAAAAGTATAAATACACCAAAGAGTATGTCTATTAAAAACATCAACAATAGGAGTTTTTATTTGTTCCGTTTATATATATATATATATATATATATATATATATATA